GCAAAGTCGAACTTAACAGCGCGGCAGGCTGCGATCGATAAGCTGAAATGACTAATCTCGGACATTGTTCCGAACACAAAGCAGAAATGACTACTACCACAAAATTGAACTCGGGGAATATCTTGGGTTCCAGGGATGAAATGGGCTTGCACCCGAGGATTCAAGCAGGTATTAAGCTCATAAATGTATCCTGGCACTGTAATTTACGTCTACGTCTTGCCTCATTTTCTTTAGATTTTGTTTCTGCGATGACCAATGTTGTATGACAAAATCTTTGTTTGTACATGTAGCAATAGTGGCCGAAATCCATGTTCCCCTGGGTAGCCAAACCTAAAGGTTCAGCAATAAAGAGGGAGATTAGGTCCATGCTAAAATTATATATAGCAGCTATATGTGCTATCCATTTATTACTGTTGCAAGAGAATCCTTACAATTGCTGTGCAATCTTATTCGATCGAAGTTCCTCTTCCGCGCGCGCCTCCTCTACCGTTGAAGGCTGGCGTTCACAATCTCCGACGGATGATTGTTCCTGCACAATGCTAGTCGTTTGACTGCACTTCCCGAGCACTGGCAGCTTCGACGTCCACTTGAACGAAACTGTCGTCGCTGTCCGGCGCTCGCTCCGTTGCAACGGCGTAGACTGAGATAATGGTTGCGCGCGCACTGAGCGCACAGCACGGAGGAATGACTAGGATAGAATTCAGTCCTGACGCGAGATGTGTGGAAGGGGAATATGCACAGGATCAGTGGCGGCGAGCAGGACATACAAGAGAGGCCGGAAGGAATAAATGAATGTCCGTAGAGTCGTATACTATGGAAACCGGTCAGGAAATGGAGGAGAGAGCAGCGTAAAGGGACACACGGAATTAGTGAGATCTGTGTGCACGCCGTTGTACACGCCAAGTACAGACATGCTTATGCTTAGAAAGCAGGAAAGAAGTGGGTACAAAGCTGGTTGAAATTATACTGAGAAGGAATGGATGATTGTGGAAAGTACTGCAGCAGACCGATGCGTATGATAATCGGGCGGAACTGCACGATTGGATGTTTGGGATTCATCGACGCAAGAGTAGCAATAGCGGATCCGGATTCGGAGGTGTGGGCTCGCAGGCGTTGGATCTTTGACTGATCGAGGAAGTGAACTTTCCCTAACAAAGACTGGGCAAATTTCGAACACTCACGACTTGTAGCAGCATGAAAATTAACAAGTTCACGAAAGAAACGACCTCGACGGCTGACATCACGAGTAGCGGAACAAACTGCGTTCCAATCAACCAGTCGAGCTGCCCCTTGGATGTAGGGTCTTTGACCCAACATATTCTGTCCTGGGCATCCCAACTATAAGAAGTTGAAATAGAATCAGGTGTTTAAAGAGAATGAATGCCTGCTCACCCGAGCCGCCCTGCTGCCCATATCGGTATGCTGCAGACCCCGCAGAGGAAAGCTGCTCCAAAAAGATAGTATTTCTCCATCTTGTTGCCGTTAACACCATAGACCAGAACAAGCCTTAGTTAATTGCAATTAAAATATCAGCAGGGGAACAAGAGAAAGAGCCGTACTGGAGATTGAGGGCTACGCAGCAAAAAATATATGCGGAGAAAAATGGAGCAGTCTGGAGAGGAAATTAGATTTTCCCCAGGTGACAATGTCGAGCCACGTACTAGAGTTAGAAAGGCGGCAAAACTGCAGCCAGGACTTGTTTCATTCATGGACACCAACGTCCGCACACCGAACACGACACTGAGAAATGGGTTGTAGGGAAAGTAATTATGAACGTTGTTCAACCTACTTTGCTATCAGAGCATACACGAGCAAGCGAAAACTGACGCGGTTGAGGTGTGGCCGTGATACTGAATTCCACTGCAGATACGCAACGGCCGCCAAGAATGAAACTGACAGGGCTACTCCCGTAATGGATGCAGCAAGCTTCACATCCCTGGAAGACAACCGGGGTTCAGTAACTTTCAAATCGCTGGAGATGCCATGCGTACTGGATTGACTGGCGAAGATGCGGACTCGACATGGTGAAGGCGGGCTCGCTTGAGTCCAAGACACATCTTTATATGAATTTCTCGGGTAAGATCGCCGTATGAAAGTGGCGACGAACAGAACGTCACAGCCAACTTGACGGCATCACGGAAATAACCGAGTGATCGGACCTTCAAGTCCCCGTTACATTCTGTGCCAAGTATCTCCCAGTAAAGGCTAGTCTTGATGTCAAATAAATAAATTGGGCCTTGGCAACACTTGACTCAGGGTTGAAATTCGGTTCAGGTTTTGGAACCATTCAGACCTGCTTCTTGACCTAGTGGAGAATATAGGGATATCTGAGGATGGTGCACCAGGTGAGTGGCAGAGTACTAGAACATGCCGCAACAATGTTTGGAGAAAGGTGGGCGTTACATAAACCTCAAGGTGTTCCTATGGTGTCCAAATGGTGTCTGACACTGTCTGACAGCTGGCTGCTGTAACCAAACGTGATGCCAAAGGGTACTCATCAGGTCCACAATAGTGAATGACGGATGTGCGGTACTTTCAAGGTACTTTGGAGATAGGTATCCTTGCAGAAATCCACCGCAGCACAAACGGAGGGATGGAATAGTGGCAGAAAAGCGAGTGTATTTTCATCGCATGGAAAATCTGATATCTGCTCCAGACGTCCCATGTTCTCCGCATCTCGGTGCTCAATCTCTGGTACTCTTTCTCCTGTTTTCGTACTCATATTTTACATAATTGGGACTTTGTCTGTTTTGTAAACGGCAACAGGATGGAGAAATAGTATCTTTCGGAGCAACCTTGCTCTGCGGGACCTACAAATACAACATGTCATGGACAGCAGCTGACAGCAGGCGAACTGGGAAGCAGGTCTTCGTTCCCTATAAGAATCTGATCCTATTTAAACTTCTTGCAGCTGGTATGCCGCGGCATATGTTTTGTTCCATCCTCCTAAAATTCGAGAAAAAAAACCCAGTACGTAAGATGTGGCGCTAGGCTTGGTATCCAGGCCGGTTGTACCTTGCTTCGTCACAAACAAGAGCTTGATAAAGGGTATCGGGCTACCCCGTCTACTGACTTTGGAGCGAGTCTTGTTTCGTCTGTATCATTGGGTAGGGCTCCGGCGGATGGTGAGGTTATTCCTCCGTAGACTGCTCGAAAAATATCCAAAAACAGGATTAGGGCACAGATGTCAGGAAGATCTTGTCGTGCTTTATGGGATCTCAACAGAAAATTTGGCGCACAGGTTACATTATAATCTCTTCCGTACCGCAGACTACACAATAATTAGTGATTATGGGCACTTACAAAATGCTTGAGGGCCATACAGATCTGAATCATTAATGAGAGATATACAGAGCTACTATACAGTTGCATTTACTGTCCCGGGGGGGGGCTTAAATTTGGTGGCCAACTTTCTTCGATTGAAGTTCCTCTTCTGCGCGCACCTCCTCTACCATCGAGGGCCGACGTTCGCAATCTCCCGCAGATGATGTTTCCTGCTCAGCGCTACTCGAAAGAGCTAAACATCTAATTTTACTTAGTCCGAGTTGACCGATTGAACTCCCCGAAAATTCATCGTCTGTAAACTCTCTTAGATCGATCTCATGGCTCGAATTTATTCATGTCGATGATATGCTGTAGCCGACCATTGACGGAGAGGCCACCCGAGATGGAAATATTAGCTGAACTCGAGTAGTACAAGGTCAATGTAACCACACCTCAATACTCGACACAAACTGTTGTGAATTTTCATCTGCCCTACCCTATGTCACTAACAATCGCAAGGACTACACCGTGGCCCAAGTTATTCTTTGCACAGGCTAGCACTCTAATACCTGAAGTTTGAACTACGAGACACTACAGCAGATTCTGACTCATACCTATTTGTTGTTTATCTTGGTTGCGAAGTCACACCACTGAACTGGTATGATATTTACTAGGCCATTTATCTTGAGTTCTGGGCCCAACTTGTTTCAAGTTGGCATGACTCCACATTCAAAATGCGACAAGGGCGAATAGGAAATCTCCGTCAGGTTGTGTACTGCACTCTGCCGTTCGTGCCATTCGCAATTTCACCACGTGGGATTGGTCCCAACTTGAAGTCAAGTGTTGTTGGCACCAAATTAGACCGTACTCTGATTTTTCTTTTTATCCAAAGAGTCAAGGTAGTACATAAGAACCCAGCTTTGCAAATCAACCCCAGTTTTTTGTTATTTCCAACTCAACCTGCAAGTCGTGAGATACCACATTATCAAAGATAATTCCACATTATCAAAGATAATTTGACTACCTTCTGGTTGATGCCTCCAAACCTCCAAATGTAGGATTCTTCAAATAAGAAGCGCACTTGCTTTTTTTCTTTCTCTGAGACTTGTTGTTACCGTGTTATGACCAATGACTGCTCAGATAGGAGAAACACATCAAATAGGGAATTCCGAGGACTCTTTGACCTGTGCGTTTCCTGCGAGCACTTGAAAAGCATGGAGGCACGTCAACAAGAGCCAAGAGACAAGTTCATTATACAAGACGGGATAGGGCAAACGTGGGGTAATTCACTGCCATGTTAATTCCATCAAGTTGAAAACTGAGGCGCAGGAAAACGGCGCAGAAATCTATGTTGCCCGCGGTAGGGTTTAGGATCGCCGACTAAGTGAGACCTCAGTCTCAGGGTGGTATTGGCGATGTGTCGGCCAACACAACTGCATATATGATAGTCATCTCCTTGAGTTCCTGCTTCCTAGAGTCTTCATCGAGATTTGATTCCCAGGTATATCGGACGACAGATGGCATGGTGGCTTCGAGAAAGAATCGGTGTCACGGGCCGATCGGTGACATCGGAAGTTTGAACTGGGAACTTGAAATCAAATTTGGAAGGGGATCAGCTTCCCGGAAAGACTGATAGTACTTGAATGACGACGGTAAATCTAAGCTCGTCGATTGTCTCGGATTTCAACTGTGACTTCCCAGGCCGATTGTATGCTGTGAAATCACACCAGTTATCAGGGCACATGGTGTAGTTGGTTATCACGCTCGCTTAGCAATGATTATCTCATCATGCGAGAGGTGTTGGGTTCAATTCCCAATGTGTCCATTGTTTTGCTTTTCGTTCCTTTTTATCCTTTTTATTCTGTGCTGCTAGGATTTGCCCCAGCAACCACCGTTCTGCATCGCTGTACCGGTTTAATTTTTCTCGGACACGTTGCCAAACCCTGAGGAGTATATACAGCTATAGCACGGAATTTCAAGTTGAACGTCGTTGTACCCATCTCCGCGGACAATACATCGCCGCTGAACCAAATGAATCAATAGTTATTAACTTCAAGAACTGAACAAGTTCATTTTGGCTAGAGCCCTCACATCCCGGCTGCCACTTCAAAACCATGATTCACCGTCACATCTCAGAAAGTTACGCCGGGTTTTGAATTCCGATGCGATGTCTGGTGGCGGACAGTCGGCGTCGACGCCGAGCTGGAATGCTCGGTGAGGCGTTCCTTGGAGAGGAGTCAACAAAATTTACCAGCAAGCTACAAGATCACGTAGTACCGAAGTCAAACGGAGGTACTTCTGTTGCCAATTCACGCGACCGTTACTACGATGAACTTGTTAAGGTCATCAACAAACGCAGTTGTAATGGTAAGATTGAGGTTTTTTTTTGTTAGCGCGAAGGTAAATGTCCAAGTTTTGCTTGAAGGTTTCGGGGAAGGATGGGGTGGGTGAACCTGAATGATCTCAAAGACTGGGTGAGGGAAGAAAAAAAACTCTTCAGGAAACTTCATGGCTCGAACCCGATTCGAACGGGTGCTCCCACCGCTACGCTCCTTCGACTTGACGGCATACTGTATATAGTGGGTGCGGACCATGCTTTGTTCTCGACAGCAAGAATATCAACAAACGCACCTAGGAGGTTGGCATTTTTGAAGTCAAGATGTACAAAGTTTAACGCGAATGGAAGATGTTTGAGCTTGGAGCTGGAAGAAGGGTGAGCTTGAGCTTGAAAAAAAGAAGCCGAGAGTCCAAAAGACGAAGACAAGAAAAAAGCGGAATGTCCCAAAACACGGCCTGGTCCTGAATCGAACGGGTGCTTCCACTGTTATCCGATCCGGCAGAATCGATATTATTAGTGGGCGCGGATCATCCGCTACCAGGCCTTGTCAGGTTGGTCAGGTACCTGGATGGATTTCAGATTTTCGCTCGAGGACGTACTTGATGAAAGAGCTTGAATTTAAAGACGACAGAAACTGGAGATGGTAACTGAACATGGGTGTGGTGTGCTACATGTAATACCCGGCGAAGAAGTGGATAGAACGTACTGCGGGTCCCTCGACGTTCCGACTGAAAAAGATTGAGACAGAATTGACAAGCCCGTAGTCCCGAATCGAACGAGCCCTCCCACGCTGATTTGTTTTACACGGAAAGAACATCTGAATGGTTGATGAACGCGAACCGAGCGCTACCAGGACTTGCTAAGGATATTTACGCACCGCACAGTACTAGTGAGATCGAGAATTTATCGTGGACTCGGGAAAGGCGGCGTGAATGTAAGATGTTTGGGCTCGAAGAGGTGCCGCCGAATCTGCGATTTGATCTTAATAGTGGAGAGATGCAGTCGTGCGGTGAGACCGCGGCATCGGTGGAAAAACGTTTATTCAGGTTGAGATTTTTTCGAGGATGTCGGACGCCAGAAGTATCCGTCAGCTCTGGAGGCCGACGTGGATTGCGTACGGGTAAGCTTGCCCGAGCGATTTGATCTTCTGGCCTCTTGCCGCTCTGTAACTCCCGGATACGAAAGGACCCCGGCTCGAGATTGCCGGTGTACAACACGATTCGCCTACATCTCGAAATACTCCCCGGTCGCGCAGCGTGCTTCCCGGTGCAAGATCACTTATGAAGCCACAGATGAGCTGAATTGGTCGCTCTTGAGGGCGCTAATCCAGATTAAACGAGCCATGGAGGCATTCTTCGTAGAAGCTGCCAGCCGACCATCGGAAGGACGAGACAAGAGTCTAGCCCAAGAAGACTGAGCCGAGTCCGCAAGCCAAAATCACTGGCTTCACGATACCAAAGCAGCGCACTGTGTCCGTGTGCCAGCCAAAGACGCAGGTGCAGCGCCCGGCGAGGAGATCCCAGGTGTGCACGGTGCGCCGACGGGTGGGGTCGATCGAGCTCGAAGGGTGTCGCGCCGTCAAGGCATGGGTAGAGGAGATCGCCCCGTCATGGTGGAAGGAAGGTGAGGAACAGCTGGCCGCCGCTTGAAGATAGCGGAAAGACAAAGCAAGCTGTGGCAATGCGTGAGAGAGCGACATCAGTTAAAATTGATGCGATGTTGTCGCGCGTTGGTACCCATGTTTGTAGCTCTTGTCATCCGGACCAGGACCTGAACGATGACATGATAACGGAAGAAGAACAACAACAACAAAAAGTGCGCTTCAAAATTTATGACTTGGCCCGACCGTCCGAATTGAATTCGAACGGAGGGATATTTTTTATTCCACGATGCAAGTTTACTAGATGGCAACTCTAGCCATCCGCTGCTTAACAGGACTTTGAAGGCGTATCCGCATGGATGCAACTGATGAGCTTGGATTTTTTCTGGACAGTCTAAATCCAAAGCAGAAATGTGAAGCTTACCCTTGAAGGTGGCGTTCAAAAGTTATTCCGCAACCATGACGTGCCAGTGAGATAGTTTTCCAGGGCTTGCGGGGCGCAACCGCTCGCCAGTAATCGGGAATCCACGGGCGGAAAAAAAAAAAAAACAATCACGACAGTTAACGGCCCAGTCCCGGATCGAACGGGTACTCCCAGTACTAGCGGTAAGTATTCATTTTTCACAATCAACGGGAGTGGGTGCGGACCATCCGCCACCAGGCCTTGGCAAGAATATCCGGATTCTGTGAAGCTGTAATTTTTTGCATCAGCGCGAAGGGGCCATGTTCAAGTTAAGCTTGGCAATTGAAGTGAGGCGAACCTTTCGTCAGAGATTTGTTCTGGGCATGAACAGCGGGCGCGATGAGACAATTTGGCATGGTGTGAATAACAAATCAACTGGAGAGTCACGAAGAAGAAAATAAACGAGTAACTATCTCGCGGCCTTGTCCCGAATCGAACGGGTGCTCCCAGCGTAAGTGACATTCTGTTTCGCCATAAACATCAGTCGAGTAGACCATCCACTGCCAGGCCTTTGGAAGGATATTTCGACGCAAGAAGTGGAGCGAAGTAGCTCAATCGCAGGTTGAAGGTTAGGTGAACTTGGAGGATTCTTCAGATATTATTATATCTTCAGTGGTGAAATCGAAATTTTTTTGCGCGGTAAAACTGTGTTATTTTCGAGTTTGGAAGGCGACAATCGCTTTCCAGTAATTAAGAATCCAGGGACAAAGCGAAAAAAAAAAACTCCGGTCTGAACTAAGAATTTAAACGGCCCAGTCCCAAATCGAACGGGTGCTCCCCACGTTAGCCGTATTGAATCTTGGTAGTTAGCATTAGCGGGTGCAGACCACTGCTACGAGGCCTTGTCTGGGATATCGGCACATTTAGTGAGGTCAAGGAATTTTCGTCGGCGAGAAGTGAAGTGCAAAGGCGACTGTTCAAGTTAAGCATTGCATACCGACACCGCTCCGAGGGTTTATATATTTTAATTTAGACAGCAGCCATACAACGAGGACATAAATCTGCCGCAACTTGGATCTGCCACAATATCGAAGAAGGTGTAAACGCAGCGGCAATCATTCACTCAAACAAGGACTCAAGATCCCTGCCATAATTCAACTCCAACTCCCCAATGCTCTGATTGTGCGTCGCAGCTATGACTTTCTCCAAGAGCTGCTGAGCCACAGGCGTTGCCGCCAATACATTAATAACGTCCTGCGCGTCCGTAATGATCACGTCCATCGGCGGTCGGCTCACTGCGTTGATCCCCTGCTTCACCCCAACGATCGCACCTGGGGGGAACAGCGCTATGCGTGCGGCGAGCTTCTGCACGTAGTCCTTTAGTTCTGAGGAGGTAGCGAACGCGCGGTTGATCCAGCCGTAGCGCTCGGCGGTGACGGCGTCAATGTCCTTCGACGCGAGGACGTACTCGAACGCCCGCCCGCGGCCCATGAGTTGGGAGAGATACATGGCGCCGCCCGCACCGGTGGTCAGCCCCTGGGACACTTCGATTTGAGCGAGAAGCACTGAGGGTGATGTGGTTGCGAAGCGCATGTCGCACGACATGAGGAACTCGTTGCCGATGCCGCGTGTACGCTGGTTCACGTTAATTAATTAATGGTTTTGAGTGCGTTGGAATGAATGGGTACCGACGCCTTCGATGAGCGCGATCGTTGCTTGTGGTAGCTGGGTGATGTTCCAGAGCAGTGCGATGGGGAAGGTCATGTTTGGGAACCCCGGGTCAAAAAGGGGCAGGGGTGACTCTGTCGATGCTTTAGTTGGTGTTCATTTGTTGAAGTGATAGGTCACGCACCGTAGCCTGGGAGGAAGAAATTGAGATCGAAGTGGCCAAAGAAGAACTCAAGATTGCCGCTGGAAAACACAACGACACGGACGTCCGTATCGTTCGCCTGCAGCGTCTCGATGAGGTTCGCGAGGTCGGACTGGATGTGAAAGTCGAAGAGGTTGATGGTCGAGTAGGTGTTGTTGATAACGACGTTCATGACTCCGTCGGAAGAGGTCGCTGTCTTGAGTGTCCCGAAGGAGGGATACCGCGCCGCGAAGGCGGAGACGACGCAGAGAGCGAGACTGGCGGATAGGCAGAGTCCTCTAAACATTCTTTGTTTTCGTGAGTGAATGGCTGGTTGGAATCTCTACCTTTAATCAAGTTTAATGTGCGGACGAGTCGCAATAATCTCCGGGCACTCGGGATGACATTCCCTCCGCCGCTGACTGAGATGACCGAGCCCGACCAGATCCGTAGACTGAGGTGTATGAATAACGTTAGCCGCACAAGAGCCGCCCAATATGTAGCAGCGCATTTTTAATCGCGTCCGAGCCTGAGGTTGCCATTAAACCAAACCATTAACGCACCAAAGAAAGGCCATCGGGAGTCAAGCCGCATTCAACCACTGCATGGTCATTTACCCCGTGGTTCGACAGGCG